ACTTGATTCAAGCATGGATTCCACATTTAAACAACATTCAAGGCTTCTACAATCAAAGCCCTAACATAATTTAACCAAATCACAATTTTCTTAAAACCCTAGGTCATGGCCAAATGAAATTTTACCCAATTTTAAGTAGTTTTAATCATCATACAAGCTTTAGAATTAATCTCCAACATCAAAAACATAAAAATCTTTCATCAAATCCTCAAAATCAACAAATCTTATATAAACATGAATTTCCAAACTCATCATATAAACATGATCACCATGTAATATTTATACCAAATTATATAGAATTTCAAGGGGATTAATTCTCTATCTAATAGCTTAATCCAAAAACCAATCGAATAAACTTAAAAATAAAAAAATTATTGTCTTGTAGCTATGGTGGTGCACGTTTTGGGGTGGAAGAAACTAAAAATTTCTTATTTTTCTTTAATTAAAAAGTAATACACTTGGATTAATCTAATATAAATGAATTTAAAATTCATTTAATGTGAAATTATCATTTTACCCTTAATGAAACATGACAATTTCAATTTTCCATTGCGTTATCATCCCTTTTAATATCCAAAAGTCAAATATGAACAAATAAAAATCTATTTTCTGCCTTTTCCCTTGTAAATTTTCAAAAATTATAATTTAGTCAATAAATTTTCCAATTTCGGCTAAATATGTAAAATCAACTTCAATTCCATTGATCCACATTAAATTTCAATGTTCTAAAATTTGGAAATAATATTTCCAACCTTTATCTATCATCCTTCAAATTTTCATAAAATTCCAGTTCGATCTGGTTATCCGATTTTCTTTCGGACTTTACTGTTTTATAGCTTTTAACACAAATTTAGGATCAAAATTATGATTCCCATGAAAACATCATTCTTGGGGTTGAACTATTCAATTACGAGTCAAAATATCTAACATTTAAAAATTACTTTTTTGGTCCTTGAACTTTTCCAACTTTTTACTTTGGCCACTAAACTTTCAAAATTTATATTTTGATCGCTAACCAAAATTTGGGGTATTATAGAATTCAATAAAGTTAGGATGGCATAAGATTGGCCTTGTGTGACACTCGAAAAACGGTTCGAACACCCAAGTTACTCTAATATTATGACGATCGTCCTTTGTTTGTAAATATCTGGATATTGTTTAATGGACGCATCCAATGCATGTAAATTTTAGGTCGTACTGGTATAAATTTCAATGCACGTAAATTTCATAATTGTATCTTATGCTTGACTAGGTTCGTGATGTGAGCTTTCGATGCACGTAAATTTCGGACCTCACCTCGACCTCTCGAATATCCGAGGTAGACTAAGGGCTATAACATCTTACGTGCGTAAATTATGGTTCTTACCCCAAAGCTATCACACTCTATGTAGGCTAGTGTGTTGTCCAATATGCATGTAAATTGCTCCGACCACACTACTTGGCCTATCTCATGTTGTTATGTACTAATGCATGTTATGACTTGCACACTGATATGTTCATGTAATGAATACATGTAGTATTGCATAGTTATTCTCGTGGCACTGAGCTTGTGAGCTCAGTGTGTGGAATGTGTTTTCATGCACAGGTTATTAAAGGGGATCGTTGAGGAGCCTATCGCATCCGTATATTCAAGACTAGAAGATTTGCAGAGTATGTCTTGGGTCTATTTTAGAGGGCATGTATTCTATATGGACCTTGTGTATTCGATTAATAACTCTATTTTGATTTAAAACTCAACTGGTTATATTATACGTATTTTGAAGGACTCTTATATTTTGTAAATTTTGAATTTGATTTCCGTTGCAATTATAATGAGTTATTTTGATGATTATAAACGCTTTTAAAAGAAATTTTTGGGTTGATCATTTTGGTGGTCTCGTATGGCATCATAATCCATGGATCTTCAGGTCGGACTAGATTAGGGTGTTACAAATGTTATAGTTTACCCAAAAAATATTATGGAAATAATATAATTAATATTTTATTTTAACTAATTTAACTTTAAATATTTAACTAACATATAATTATATGTTGAGTCCTTTAGGATTTTAAATTTTTATAAATTAAATTAATGGTACTCATCGTCGCTCGTACAATGTGGAAGAATCATCCAATTATATATTAATTAAATAAATCACTTCATCATTTTGTTATTAAGAAAACAAAGTAGTGTCCAAAAAAGCTAAAGGCAACTATTAAATTAAAGAAAATTAAAGGGTAAACTACAAATTTGGTAACTTAATTTTATTCTCTCTCATATTTCATTCATTGTACTTTAAATCTTTTCAATTTCCTCTATGAACTTAATACATTGAGTTTTTTTGGTCACTCGACCATTAAATAGTTAACGACATTAAAATGGACAATTATATAGATGCAAAATGATGTTTTGGTGAAAATTTTGTTTTTTAAAATTGTGTCGTTTTTAATGTCATTAACTATTTAACGGAGGAGTGACCAAAATATGAGAGAGAGTAAAGTTCAGCGATAATGTAACTCCCCAAACCCCAGTTAGTAGTTTTGGGCTGATTCGAGAGGGTTTTATATAAGCCCACTAGCCTTGTAGGGAAGCTTGTCCAAATTGGAGTTAGATTGGGCTTGGTTTAAGCCCTATTAGAGTTAAAAGGGTATTTTTTTCATAGATACCAAAGTTTGGGGGACCAAGGGTATAAACATACCATCAAAAGTTTGAAAGGCTAATTTCCTTTCAATGTTACTCTTCTTTGTCTTTTTTTCTTCCTACAATCTTCATCTCCTCTCATTGGCAACTTAGAAAAAGGTGGAAACTTTGTTAGCCTTCATCTCTAGTTTGATTTTGCAAAGGTAAGAAATGGAATCATCATCCTTAGAACTTCCCTTCTAGCCAACAAAATCAAGGTTTGGTAATGGTAGCCTCAAATGGGGGTTTTAGTAGGGGTTTAGAAACCCATGTTATTTCAGCTTGTTTTTGGGGGGACTTGAGTCATAGGAAACCCCCTTAACATGTTTCTAACCTCTTAATCCACTTAGTAAAACATATGTTTGATCCTTGCTTAGTGAGAAAAGTTAGGGATAACTCCAAAAGCAAAAAGAAATAGAAGCTAACACTTAGTTGAATCTTGAGTGTTCTCCAGCAGCTGAGGAATTAAGGTAACACATTTCTAGCTCATCTCTACCTCTTGTAGATCACTAGATGTGTTTGGGTATTTTGTATGAGTTATGAAGCATGTAAGCACATTCATAATAAATTTTAATTTATGGTGTTTTTAAATGGGTATTGGCTTATTATGACTCCTCTTAACATACATAAGACTTAAATAATGTTTGGGAACCTCAGTGGGACTTTTGGTAGAAATGAGATGTTATTTTTGTGCTCAAACATAACATTTATGGGCTTGGGTATCAATATTGGATGAACAGTATCAATATTGTTCTTCAAATAGTCTAAAACAAGAAGTTTTTGGATAAGAGTATCGATATATACTTTTCTTTGGGTATCGATACTCACTGGTGGAGTATCGATATCATGTCCGGTTTATAGATTTCAGTAGCCTATTTTGGTATCGGTACTCATGGGAGTATCGATATTTTTTGTAGGGTATCAATATTTAATTAAATTTCAAACATCGAATCAAATTTAGGTATCGATACTCAAGATGGTATCGATAACCCAGTTCAGAAGTATTGGTACTCTTTTTAAGGGTATCAATATTGTCCAATTTCCTTAGATTCTAGTAGCCAATTTTGGTATCAGTACCAGGGTGAGTATTGATACTCAAGTGTCAACATCGATACTAAATGGCTTAGTATCGATACCAGCATACGAATTTGGGTAAGAAACCCAATTGATCAAAGGGTTGGAGAAATGGGCCTAATAACACCACAACTTCACTATATAAAACTACAAGCGAGAATAATAATGAATACAATTACAACTACACACGATACCAGCTAAGATAACGTAAAACTAGCCATTGTGTAATACTCGGGAAACAACCAAGACACCTGAGTTACTTTAGCAGTATGGTGATATTCTTGCATGTTAGAATATTCGGATATATCTCAGCTAGTGTCAAGGCACTTTAGTTATTGGATGGGCGCAAATGCCCCAAGACTTTCAAGTGTGAGCTAGTCGAGTGTACGTTTTCGATGCAGTTCTGGATCTCACCCTAGATATCTTAGGGTATCTTAGATAGGCTAGAGGGGTTTACGTCCCGAGATTCATAACCCTCTGACCACACAATGATGCCTACCTCAACTTTGTATGTTAGTGTCCTTGTATGTTCACATCTCTGCCTACTAGCATGCTCATATAGTGAATACATGTAGTATATTACAATTATTAGTGTGGCACTGAGCACGTAACGTTCAGAATGTGTTTCCTTACGCATGTTCCTAGGAGAACCTCGAGGAGCATTATTGTCACCAATGATTCCATACCTGTAATAGGGCATTTATTATTCATATACCCCATTTGTACAAGCGTAACTTTATTTTTGAAGTATTTTACTTATTTTGTTGGATTTTATTATGAGAGCTTCCCACATTGTCAACACAAATATGTACAATTTTATTTATGATTTCATGGAGACTATTTTGAATGAATGTTTCAAATTGTTTTAAAGAAAATTTTTGGGTTAGCCACTTTAGTGGTCTCGTGTAGGACTCTAGTCTGTCGATCTTCAGGTCGTGTCGGATTAAGGTATTACAAATAAAAAAACCCAATGTATTAAGTTCAGTGAGGAAATTGAAAACTTTTAAAGTTCAATGAGCAAAATAAGAGAGAGAGTAAAGTTTAGTTATGAAATTTGTAATTTACCCAAATTTAAATTTGGATAACTAAAATAAGAGTTGGAAAAAAGTTGAATGGTGAATTAAATAATTTATCCTAATTATAAACATTAAAATGTTAAGGGTAAAGTATATAAAGAGTACGTTGACTATACGGTGTATTTTTGTTGAGTCCTCTGACTATCAAAAGTTTGATATGATTATTGATTATCATCTCGAAAAAAGTTAATATGGTTGTTGACACACTTAGTCAAAAGGTCTTTGTTTTGAAATCTTTAAATACTTGATTTTCATGGAAAAAAGATGGTGTACTTGTTGTAGAGTTGATGTTCATACCTATATTGTCAGATTTGATTAAAGATCTTGCCAACAAAGATGAAAGATATTCAGAGAGGATAAAAAAATTGAAGGAAATCGAATATCAAAGAGATAATAAAATATTTATCAAAGTTTCACCTCAGAAAAAGGTTCTAAGAATTGAGAATAAAAGAAAGTAGAGTCTGAGATTTATCAGTTATATGAGGTTGTAAAGAGAGTAATCATCAATTCAAGGCTCAAGCATGGATAGTGTGCTGATGGATTGTTGATATGTTGCAGATATGGTTAGTGGGAGATGAAATGACCGAAGAAGATCAACGAAAGGCAGCCAAAGGAACAGTATTTATACCATTTTCGCAATTTCCACCCAAAAGGGTGCGCAAAGACTGCTTGTATCACAGCACACCAGCAATGCAGAGTCCCAGGGCACTTGAGAACGTGGATTCCTGTGAGAATTGGCTGCCGAGGAGAGTGATGAGCGTATCGCGCACGGCCAGGATCGTACATGGTCTGGGAGGGTGGGAGGAGCATGAATGTGGTTCCACCATGTCAAACATTGATAAAGTTTGGGAAGCATGTCTCAAGCATGGATTTCAGCCTCTGAGGATCCCAGCTCTATCAAAATACCGGATGATCATTTAATAATTATATAATCTATGTGTTCTATTTATAAGCATTTACTTGCCTATGTTACTTTTGTATAAGCTATGTGTTCTATTTATAAGCATGTGGATTGTATAATTGCTTTATGGGTTATTTATGTTACTTTTGTTGGCCTACCAACATCGTTACTCGCATATTAATATTCGTCTATAGTTTGAATCTAATCCTACAATTTTTTTCTCGAAATGATAAGAAGGCAAAAGCCTTTACAGGTTACATATGATAACTGTCATAAAGCAAGTCTAAAAGGAAAGGCATGGGTGGTCTTCGAAGAAGCCACGCAGAAGTTGTGGGAGACAGAGTTTGGCGAGGGCATAAGCTGCCTTGTTTGCTTCTGTATTGAAAAGTTTGAAATCCACAAGCCATGCACGATCTGTGAAAGAAAGCAATAGCCTGTAAAAAGGCCGAATGGTTCGAATGGACGTTAGGAGAGGTGACCAGGGAAAGAGTTTCACTGGAGTCCAGTTGACACAAAACTCTTTCATAACCTTTATTCCAAGCATGTTTCAAACCTTCAAACAAACCCCATAATTCAGCTTGAAGGGCGGTTGTTACACCCAGGGGTCTGATGAAGCCTCCAAGACAAGTGCCATGACAATCACGAATGAGGCCGCCTGTTGCATCCAGCGATGAAGAAGAAGAGACCGCTCCATCAGTGTTGAGGGCAACCCAACCATGTGGAGGTGCTCGCCAGATAAGATCCACCTGATTGTCTTGGGGTATGATCTTTAAATAAATTTGCCCAGTGAATACCAAGGTGTAGTAAGTTGTCTCTAGCCATGCTTGTTCTATTGAAAATGTACTAATTCATTCTCTTTCATATTTGCCAGGTAAAAGACGAGGACAGCTTGTTCCATGGTACACCAGTCCCTTGAAAGAGGCAAGCCGATCAAAAGTTCATGAGAATCCAGTCAGCTAATGGAAGAGAAAAGAAATTGCCAACCGTGCAGCGGTGAGTAATCGAGTTCCATAGGGGTTTGGTGGGACTAAAAGAGCCAGTCTGATGTTTTATATTTTGCTGTCGCATGATATTTAATTACTTGGTTGATGAATAATGCAAGTTGGAATGATGCTATGCTTTTACGTGGAGAGGTGTTGCTTTACGGAGGAAGCTCGTTTTATTCAAGTTTTATCAAGGTGATTTAATGCTTTCTCTTGACCTGTGCGCCAGTGATCATTCCGAGAGGAACGATTCTGTGGGTGGTTTACATATTATGTTAAAAGCAGGACTGGTGATAGTTATATGGTGCTTGTGCTAGCTTAGCTCAAGTGGGGTGCTTTTAGCTTTGGGTTATGATGTCTGTAATATATTGGGATGTGTTTTATATGGTTGCAGTGTCATTTTGTTGTATTTGGTTCGAAATTGTATTTCGGTGGTATACCTTTCTCTAATTAAGAGTATTCTTTCCTCTTTCTAAATTTATGGAAGTTTTTAACGAGACTCTTAGGTTTTATTAATAAAATTATTATTGCCGAGCAAGAAAAAAGTCTCCTGAGGATGGTGGTTTCCTCTGAGGTGCCACAAAGCGGACATGAGGCACTGTTCGTTAGAGGGCGTCGGAATCGGTTAGCATTATAAAGCAAATTATCGCTTAAAGAAAGCCATAAAAAGCACCTAATTCTTTTAGGGACAGCGGCTTTCCATGGAATCAGCCCATTCTTGTTATGAACATTCCATTGTGGTTTCATAAGAGCTTGATAAGCACTTTTGGTAGAGTATATGTGGTTCGGTGAGGCAGCCCAGCTACATCTGTCTTCTCCGAAAGATGGAGCAGGAGGGAGGATTGAGAGGAAATGTAGAACGGCTGATGGTTGCAAGCGTTGATGAAGGAAATCCCAGTTCCAATCTCCAGAGGGAAGAACCATATCCGACCAGAAAAGTTCAGTATTTCCATTTCTAGTAGACCAACAAACGAGAGATCTGAATGGCTCCCAGATCTTCGAAAGTGAAGACCAAAGAGTGGAGCAGTTTGGTCGAAATATGGAGAGGGGCCAGCGGTCAAAGACTATGTATTTGTGTCGCAATAGAGATACCTAAAACGAATCATGGTTATTGATCAAGGCGAAACAAATCTTCCAAAGGAAAGCCATGACATGTGATCTCATATTTTTCAATCCGAGGCCACCATAAGAACGAGGTTGTGTAATAGTTTTCCAACTGACAAGAGACACATCGACAGACCCCATAGGAATTTACGAATTACCTGCTAGATTTCATTACAAATTCGGACGGGAAACATGCTATCCTGCATGAAATACGTAGGTATAGCTGCAAACACAGACTTCGCAAGAGTTAATCTACCTGCAAAGGAAAGGGTAGAAGCTGCCCAATTATTCAATTTATTTTTTATCTTGGTGATAACGTAGGGAAAAGAATCTCGTGTAACCCGTTTGTGAATGACCAGGACACCAAGACAAGCCACAAAGTTTGAGACTTGGTTAAAGCCGACAATGGTGCAAGCCGAAGAAAATGTCTCCGTGTCCGTGTTGGGGAAGAAGAATATGTCCAATTTCCGATTGTTAACCTTGTTTCCAGAAAAACGGCCAAAAAATCAAGGATCTTACGGATGAGTCGAGCGTGATCCTCGGTAGCTAGATTGCTAGGTTCGTCTCTAGCAGAAAATCCTTGTAACAATACCTGAGAGGTTTGAGACCACCATCACCACTTTAAAGAACACGAAAGATATGTCAAAGATTACTTTGGCGGAACTCTTAAGTACTTTGGTGTGTAATGAGGGAAGTAGGGGTCATTGAAGGTGCTCTACCCAGTTAAGCATCAAGATGATGAAAAGGACTGGAGGCCGAAGAACAAAAAATTTGACACTGCGAGTGGAGAAAACTCTGCATTTGAGAACAAAAACAAAACTTAGAATAGAAGATAATAAGGACTATCCTCCATGTCAACACTGCGGAAAGAAAGGTCACCCACCTTTCAAATGTTGGAGAAGACCAGATGCAAAGTGTAGCAAGTGTAACCATATGGGACATGAAGTTGTTATTTGCAAGTATAAAAATCAGCAACAAGATGAAGCACAGGTAACAGATCAAGAAGAAGATGATCAACTTTTTGTTGCAACTTGTTTCACTAGTCACGAAAAGAGTGAAAGTTGGCTCATTGACATTGTTTACACTAATCATATGACTCATGACAAATAAATATGGTGAAATCGGGTTCCTCTGTCTGATGCCTCTTGTTGGAGAGGAAGGCATGCAAAGTTGACCGTTCCATTGAATTTGGATGGATGATGTGCGAGGAGGGAACTTTGCTTCTTGAAGAGTGTCGACTATAAAGTTCCAGTCAAGTCGATCAAACGCTTTCTGAAAATCGATTCTGATGTACATCTAACCTGTCCGACAGGGGCGGATGTATATGGCTCCCCTATTGTTAAAAGTTTCAAAGTTTGGCAACCAACTTTGGAAAATGTTTTTTCAAAGTTTGGTAAATGTTTCTTTGAAAAATGTTTTTCAAAGTTTGGTAAAATTTTGGTAGATGTTTGTTGAAAATAGGAATGGGTAAATTCACTTTAGTCATTGCACTTTAGGGTATTTTCAAAGATTAGTCCCTAAGTTTCTACTATAAATACCCTTACCCATTTAGCTTCAAAATCATCCCAAAACATTTCTTTCTTCCTATACTAGAGAGCTTTCTTGTGAGTAGTGAGTGTTTTGTAAACACCTGTAAATTTTCTCTCTTAGTAAAAGATCTGCAGCAGCCCGGAGACGTAAGCATAATTGGCTGAACTCCGTTATCAATTTTCGGGTATTATTTTTCCGCTTTTATTTTGCATTCTCACTAATCTGGTTATAGGGAAATTACTTGTACTCGGTTTATTTTCCTAACACCTATAGGCAAAAGTTTCATATCAGGTAGAAAATCAAAAGCTTAATTACATAATTTTTCTCGATTTGGTTAACTAGGTTTAGAAACCCTTATGTTAGTTTTGAAACCTAAACACATACTAGAGTTTATAGGTTTCGAAAACCTACTAATAATCTTGAAACCCTAAATGCATACCAGAATATCCATGTTCAAAATTGAAGCTCGAGTTTCAAAACCCTAAGTCCCGAACAATTATCCAAATGAACCCTAACCTTCTAATGTACCAAACATACATTTTTATCCTAACAAACAAGTCACGAATTAAACGATTTTAGTGATTAAGAGATGGTTATTATCTTTAGAGGTCTCAGGTTCAAGCACCGTAGAAAGTGTTTTAGCGTCCATTGTCAAAAAGTTGAGTATTTCGAATAGACCCTACTCTTTATAATCATCCCGGATTATTCATGACATCCACATGTAATTAATTAATAGGGTGTCCTCCATTGTATCTCCTATCCAACTACTTTCATAACAATGTCTTAAATTGTAACAACCAGACAAAGTACAACCCCACAAAATTCAATCCAACTTCAATCCACCGTCTCCTCTAACTTGGCTCTTTGATCTTGACCTACTCATCATGATAACTCAAATGTATTTGAAAAAAAAATCATTTCGTTCTACTTGTATTTAAAATATGAGTTAACCACATGATTGATCATTTATGTTTGTATTTTGTTCACTTTTCTTCAGTGATTTCAAAAAAACATAGTATATGGTCACTTTCGTTTTTATTTAATTAAGATATGGTCACTTTTGTTTTTATTCAATTAAGATGTGATCATCACGCGTTAATTGTCATTAACAGTTAACATATTAGGTGACGTGATGTTTTGTTATAATTACACTTTTGGTCTATATTATTTATATATTCTTTCAATTTAGTCATATTTTTAATAAATTAAAATAAATTTGATCTTCCAATTAAATGATGTCACATATCACTGGTACCACGTGTCATGCGATATGTCTCCATTCAGTACAACGTGGGAGTTATGTTTTTTGCTTAAATTTCTACGTGCGTCAGTACAACGTCCAACCATTGAATTAAGTCAAAAAAATTATAATAATTTGATAAAATATCATATTTAAATTAAAT